TCGCGATGAGTTCTCTTTCGCTGTTGTTTCCTCCTAGTTTGGCATTCATACCACCAATTATGATTTCGATGTCGCCATTTTGGGGCCTGTCCAATACTCTTTGCACTTGTCTGTTACAGTTTTACTTCTTTTCTCAGTCTGCTTTGTTTGTAGGCGCATAGCATCGCATGATTGTAAGTTACCTTCCTTTGTATTTGGATCTTGCTGTGGTGATCCTAGAGAATATTGTTTCCCACCGCTTGAGAACCTTCGATGCTGTTGGTGACAGGCACTCCCCCAGTACGCTCGTAGTATACTATATACCATCCAATCAACGACTTGGAGAGTCCACTTCTATTTCCAACACTTCTATACTGAATTCTCTCGTCTCTTCTGAAGTCTGAACAACTTTGCCAACTAGTCTTACACATGGTGTAAGTATCTCATATCTCTGCTTACTTTTCCTACTATAAGCGGAAGACATATCAGGCGACTGGCTATCTGAAAACTTTCATCTACCAGGGACATCCCTCCTCAAACTGGCAGGTCTTCCCGACTCCAGAGAAGAATAAGTACATTTTCCTGTACTTCGAAGTTTCTGCAGCGACGCGACTCTCAGTCCCTATTTAAAGAAGAAATAGCGAAACGTGTATCTGAGGTCGACAGCAGGACTTTCCCTGAGGTAGCCTGGCACAACATACAGTTAGCTGTAGACACAGCTGTGAAAGCTGTTAATAACCTAAAACCAAAAATTAGTAAGAGCCATTGGATCTCTGCCGCCTCATCCGAATTGATTGACGCAAGAGGACTGACTCCGGCGAGCTCAGATTATGATGAGGAGCGAAAGCTACTCAAACGAAAACTAACAAGAAGTCTTCGCACCGACCTTGGACAGTGGTGAGCAATAAAAGCGAAAGAGATGGAAAAGTCATCGGCGATTGGTAACACCAGACAACTATTTAGACTTATCGGGTAAACAGGTGGCAAGAGGCAAATGATAAGCGAAGCCATCTCTGAAAAAATGGCACTATAATTAGCTCCCAGGATAGACGACTGGAACTCTGGAAAGAACAATTTGAGGAGCAGTTTAATTGGCCTGCAACCACTCTCAACTTACCAAACATCTAACCCCTCCCTGAATGGGAAATAGATACAGGTCCTCCGTCCCTAACTGAGGTTACTAAGGCTGTCACTAATCTGAAACAAGGCAAAGCAGCAGGACCTGGTATTTAAGTACATTTAAAGACAGTTTACTATATGCGTAAACTGAGGTACTAGGAAGCGTCTAGGAATCAGAGGAAGTCCCGTAGGGTTGGTGCAAGTCACTGATATTACTATAAACAAGAAGGGAAACAAGTCTTCCTGTGATAATCACAGGAGGATTAGCTTGACTAATATATATGGTATCTTCAGTGTGTTTTGTTGTTTTATTATTTTTATTTTCAGAACGGTAGTATCTGCACTGAGCGCATATATATACAAGATGTAATAAGGTATTCTAACGCCCTCGAAGTATCATTCCACATAAAAAATTACCAGATAGTTAGATCCATTAAGTTTATGTTCATAAGAACGAAATTCAACTTCTTGTTCAAATGGCGTCGGTGGCACAGTGGTTAGGACTCTCACCGACCATGCACATGGTCCGAGGTTCGATCCCCTGCCGATGCACACCTGATATCAATGGTCGGCCTGCAAAATTTGGGCTACCGATATCCATGCTGAAAATTCCATACTTGTACCAAAAATACAGTGTGGAATCAAGCTGTAATCAAAATTTAAAAAAATGAATAATAATGTGGTATCTGAAGTCCTAGGCTCAATAATAATGCGTAGACTAAGTGATGCTCGGGAGGCGCAAACACGAAAGTAACAGGTAGGTTTCAGACCAGGAAGAGGGTGCATTGATCATATCTTCACGCTTTGACAGATTCTGGAACACAGGTAGCATACTTACCTGCATCAAAAAATCGGTATATTTCTTGACCTAAAGGCGGCATTCGATTCTGCCGACCGAGAGGTACTCTGGCGATGTTTGGCTGTGAAAGGAATGCCGAGAAAGTACATTTCACTGATCAAGTCACTCACTCTACTTGAATTCATGCAGCCAACCAAAGGAGAGCTTATGAGTTGTCATCTGAAGTGGCGACAGCTAGTGGTATCCGTCTGGGATCCCCATTATCCCCATCCGCATTTCTATTCAATTTCATCATAGGCGCACTAATGGACCTAATTCAAACTCACTTCAGAGACTCAGGGATTGACTTGCTACCAGGGAATAATCTCGTTGACTTAGAATTTGAAGATGATATAGTCCTTCTAGGCGAGGAAGCTGACGAAATGCAGTCTTCTGAACTCCTTGAGCTGCAATCTAGGAATATTTGGCATGCGATCCGCTACCGCCAAATCTAAGATGGTGTAACAGGACTGGACTACATTGACTCCTAGCTTAGAAATAGGGAGTGAGGTGGTAGAGCGTGTTGACCAATTCACTTATTCGGGAAGTTGCATCAGCCAGTGCCAACGGGTTCATCGCGGACGAAATCTCAGCACGAATACAGAAGGCTCGTTTCGCATTTGCCAGTTTACGTAGTCTCTGATGTAGACGTGATATCTAGCTATCGACCGAAGGGTGGGTGTATTGCTCAGCAGTCCACTTCGTCCTCCTTTATGGCTGTGAGACCTGGCCATTGAGACTGGAAGACATGAAAGGGTTGGCTAGCTGTCTTTGATTATAGGTGCCTGCGTTTTATCTCCCGTGTGAATTGGTATAATAGGGTGAGAGATATTGAGGTTAGGCGTCGGTCGAGTGCTAGGTAAGGAGGGGAAATCAATCGGCGAGGCTGTGAAGCTACATCGACTGAGATGGTTAAGTCATGTGTTACGCATGCCTAACCATCGCCTCCTCGATAATGGGCATTGTTAGCTGACACAGGATGGATCAGGTTGGAAAAGATCTGTTATTGGTCAAACCGAAACATGGTACCAGTCAATGAAATCCACAATAGTTAGTTTAAACCAGCCACGTAGGAAGGTGTAGACATCCTGACCGGTTGGGGTCCTCGGGGCGGTAAAAACCAATGGTCGGGAGCAATTGGTGATATGACTCGAAATGGTTCTCAATGGTTGGCACCGATGCATCCACTCCTTGTGACTTATAATTTCCAATGAAACTATATTGTTCTTCGTTATTACTATTCCTTTGTCTCATATCCCTGTCTACTGTCTCTATTATGCATTTCTTCTACTTTCTTCTCTTGCTTTGTGTGCTACATGGAGTGGGGCGACTTGAACTGCTGCACATCGGCACAAAATTCTAAGTCGAAAACAGACAGACAGCAGTGACGCATAGCTTGCTAGCTCCACACTCAAACCTCTCTCTTTTTAGGGCTTAGGACCACCTAGTGAATTGGACGAGATTAATAATTCAATTATATGCGTCGGTGGCATAGCGGTTAGGACGCTCGCCGACCAAGCGCATGGTCCGGGGTTCGATCCCCAGCCGGCGGACTCCTTTACCTCGCTAAGCCAGAAATAATCCTGGTAAAGAGGCTAGCAACTCCATCCTGTAAAATAATCACTGCTACTGAAACTTCAGGTGTCTAGTTTGAAGCCCTATGTTCCACTGGGGAACGTGAAGGAAAAAAATAATAATTCAATTGGAAACTATTTCACTAAGCAGTAGTGGTAAGTAAACATTTCTACTACAAGCGATTTCTACGCTACATAAAACAAGAAGCTAAGCTATAAACACTATTATCTACTCAACATAGCCGATGGTCCGTGTCAAGTAGCTAACTTGCAACACTTAGAGAACTAAGACATTATATTCTGTCCACAACAACTTGACTAACTTATCGTAACAAGCTATTAGGAATGGAAAGTCAGCTTACCAGTCAGTCGAGCACATTTTATTTTAAACAGAAGAATAAACTGAAAAAATAAACAACAGTAGAGAAAAAAAGCAGACCATATGAGAAAGCAGCGCCGTCGTAGACAGAACAAATACAAACTGAAAGCAAATACAGTGACAGAGGGTACATTATTAAAAGTAAACGGGATAGTAATCATTTTACATTTGGAAAAGTTAAGAAGGTAAAAAATAAGTGGTATTTAAACAATCGATGAAGAACATAGCAGTAGAAAAAAAACGAACAAACAGACGAACACAAAACTCTTCACTTCACACACTCGACTAATCTAAAGGATAAGGGAACTCGGTTTTACGGCTGCTACACTAAAACATAATGCAGCTAACTTTTACAATTTAACAAACGCTCTCATGTAGATTTACACACAACTAAAGAAGAATCTTGGCAAAATAGCAAAACAGAGCAGTGAATCCAAATATTTAGCGAATGCGAAAAAGAGACAATTGCAACACAATACGAATGGTTCGTTTTCTTCAGGATGCGAAAGTGTAAGATAGTGTAAAAATTAAAGTACTACTTTACTTGAAATGAAAAAACAAACAAACAGAATTATATCCAACAAAGTGAGATAAAAATGCTCTTAATTCCTTGTACCATATGTATATGTATGTGTGTGTGTACATTTGTTTATGTGGATGAAATTGCACTTGAAAAAAGTCCTGATTTCAACAATTATCAACTAATAATATATCAATTGTATTGTGTGAATTAGATATGTTCTCTATAAACATAAGAGTTTCAACCACGAAAATATGAAAGAATAAAAATGAATAGAAATGATCTCACTTTCTTAAATATACAGAAAGTGGATTAACCAATATTTTTGCGAAAACCGGACTCTATTTAGATGTTTTTTTTCTTTGACAATACTCACATAAAACTGAATAGAAATTAGGAAAGAAATAATGATGTGTACAAACATACTTTTGTGTACAATTTTAAAAAGGTTAAATGAATTTCTCATCTGAACAGTCAATCGAATGGAGTACACATACATGTCATTGGAACGCCGAATTTGTGACATGGTGGATAAACAGCTGCGAAGAGTAGTACACCGTGAAGGATTAGTAATAAAATCAGGCGGAGAGATTACTTTTTCCGATTGTCAATTATATCTGAAATGAAGTGACAACAAAGACTACATTGAAGAAGAAAATGGAATTGTTAAGATTTAACAGAAATAACGAATGGGAATTTGAAAAGCATCATCAGCTTCAAAAAAAAAAACTATTGCATTAGAATTAAAATTTATTCTGTCAAGTTGTCTGTGTAGTACTCAGCTAGCAACGATCATGATAATCATCTATACGTGTTTGTAGTCTCTACCGACCCACCCACTGAATGTATTTCAGGAGGATGTATTTTATTAAAAGTTACTTTGTTAGCTGTCAAAAGCCAAACACTCAGACGTCGTTACATCAACAGATGATTTCAAGACTCAGGTAAGAAATCCGGACTGATCCGGTAAATAAGCCAATAAGCTGTACCTTCACGTTTAAAAAGCAGTATAACAGGCCTGTTTACTTTTCTATGATGGTGGTTACATTTCTTCCTTACGTGGCTTCCTCTACATGATATCTCAAGATAAGCTGAATGGATACAGTTAGAGCATTTTGGTGTTCTTTGTATCTTATTTATAGACGCAAATAACTTCGACTATAAACAGACAGAATCGACGTGATGAATGAGCAGCACTTTGTAGCGAATTCCCTGAACACTTTTAAATTTTAGTGATAAAGAAACAGTTGAAAATCAAAACCTGTAGTGAACTCACCTTTTACTCTGTGCACACTAGTCTTACTGGAGAACGCAACACTTGGTAGGTTTTCGACTTCTTTTAATATTAACATGTTCAACTTGCTCAGACTGAAATGTTGTTGGACTTTGAAGTGGCGGTACATGTTGAGACATAACCTCACAGGTTACTGGACCGGATGAGTGTGAAGAAATGTCCGCAATATTAGGACCGTTGGAAGCCTGGGATTTAAACGATGAGTCACCGCTTTTAATGTGGATATTATTTGGTACGACACCGTCCACAGATGTAGGATTCCCATTAGCACGGCGTAAAGCAGGATCATTTATAATTATCTAGCAAAAATGAAATGTAATAAAATACAAGATGAAGTTGCATTTCATAATAAAGTCTTCACTTAGTTACGACAACCTGTTTATTGAATGCCAACAGGTTACATACAAAGTGTGGTCCCTTCCAGATTCGTACATGTATACACGAAGCTGTTAAAAATCCTTCTCCATGAAACAGACTTCAGTAGGGAAAGATGCTTTTTGTAACAATCGTACTTCTGAAGTTATAAAAACTGCATTCAAATCTGGCTTGAAATGCATTATAGTGGACTTATTTCTTTTGCAAGTTGCAGTTTTGCCAATAATTGCAAACCCTGAGGTTTAATAACATGGATCTGGGTAGTGTGTGGACCACAAATCGACCAAAAGGAGTAGACAAATGAAAGAATGAGGTAGACACATGTGTAAATTAATATGATTTGGATTTTACTGGAAGACCGAGTAAATTTAGGATTGGCAGAAGTGAATAGGTCAGAACTAATGCAACAAAACAGGAGACAAAAAAGACGAACCTTTATCAACTGAAAATGAAATTAATAAAGTGCGATCACCCTTGTGAATTGTGTGTAATACAATGTATCAGAATGAAAAATCTATTTGATTAGAGACGCTGTTCAGCATATCGACTACACACGCAACCATCACTTCACACAAAGTTCCTCATGCAGAAATACGATTTGAGTACTTTACACTCACTTTCAGAAAGGATCCCTTGTAATTCTGAATTTCCTGCCTCAAATAAGCTAAAACAAATAGTAAAAACTAACCCGAACTAATACTTATCCGGCAAAGCTTAAAGGCCGAATGACGGTAATTCATCAGCACTTAATTATTAAGTATGTGTTTCGACAGTTATGTATGCTGACGATCGCAATATGACATATATAATGTACCTAACCCAGTTGCTTGAACATAAGTGTTTCTCATCTCTTTGGAGTTAGGATCATGACTGTGAACACCTCTTTAATATCCCGATATAGTGGCATTATTATTATTTTGTTTCTATGCGTTCTCAGTGAAACCAAAGGCTTCAAGTTAGAGCTTTGAAGTTTTGATAGCAGTGGTTTTATTTTTAAGGGGCGGGATTGCTAGTCCCAAGCTCACTCCACTCTTTGCTGGGCTTATTAACAGCTAAGCGAGGCTTGAGTGCGTTGGCCGGGGATCGGACCCCGGACCACTCCAGTGGCTGGGGAGCATTCTACCTTTGCTCACTGACGCACCAGTATAGTGGTAAATACCTGAAATTCAGGTAGTGGGCAAATTTATGATGTTATCATGCTTCGGAAGTAGAGCTTTGTGTCGCTGTAAACACCAGATTCCGCATCGATTCTTTCTGACATGAAAATCAAATTAGCTAAGAATAACCTTGATTTTACCTAGTCCTAATCTGATCGCTAAACATAACAGTTAAAAAATGAATCCTTTCATACTTGAAATCTATGTGTTAAGTACACCAAATGTTCACCATCAAATATATATATTATGATACACAAGAAAAAACTTACGATGGTATCTGTGTGATTACATAGCATTCAGAGATATTAATTTCACTAGGGTTTGTTAGTGAGGTCCAATAACGTTTCTAAACAAATCACTTGCTTTGGAGTTCAAATGTACATCTATTCAACAAATGTATGTTATGAGACTATTATTCTGAGAGCCGTCGGTTGGGCTTGACTAGCTCAATCAGCAGAGCACCAGACTTAGTCCTATGGTCGTGGATTCGACTCCCATGTTGGGCGTCCACATGTGTGGGGTAGTAGTGGGTGTCCACTCATTGTCTATTTTGTTCCAGCATCGTAAGACCTGCTAGCGAAACTACTATGAGGAAGAACTGTTGAGTGAACTTATGGTGCCAGGTTGCGGATAGAGCACAGTGGAAGAAACTGACTCCACTTGGGTAGTATCCAAAGGTAAGGAGAGAAAACCAGGAAATCTAATATTAAGGTTCATGTAAGAAAAGTTATTAGAATCGGCGGGCGAAATATTGATGCTACGGAAAGTTCTTGAAGACCATTGAAAGTAGTATTAGAGAATGACACGGAGAATATAATTCCCATTTGAGAGCATCTAAGAAGAAGAAAAGGAAGTAGAAAATAAGGTCTGGTTGCCCGTTGGATCATAGAATTAAAAGGAGAGAAGTCGTAGCGGAACTAAGGGTTCGGTTAGAAAAAGGGGAAAAACATATTAGGATTTCGGGTGGTGAGATCTCGAAAACCTGTGTTGCGAGGACCTCTGTTCATAGGTCGAATACACAAGTATGTGTATCAGTGTGCTATACGAATGCGTGTAATCTCAGAAGCAAGTTTCCCTGAATTAGTAGTATTATCTGAGAAATTACAACCTGATATTATTGCAATTACTGGAACGTGGTTGTTAATAGATGTGGACTTCACTCCACTCATACCGAGGTTTATCTAAGAGCAGACAAGATAAATCAGAAAGGTAGCTGGGTTGCTGCATACATTCGGGATGATATAGCAATCAGGTCAACAGTTTCAAAAGCGCACGTTAGTGGCACTTATGAAGCCACAAGGTGTGTTACTAACTTGAATAAGGGTACTCCAACGACCGGAGCTATTTACAGTAGTCCTACACGCCAAGCTAATGACTTCATAGTAGGTCACCTGAGGGTGTGGAGTAGTAGAAATAGGTATCTGATAGTACGTTACTTTGATGCCCAAATCACTGGGAGGAATTAATATCAACCAGCCAGTATACTCATTTCAACAGAGAAATTACGCTGACAGTCCTATGATGTACAGTTGTGCAGCATGTACATGCACCAAGACGATACTACCCCGAACATGATCTCTCTACTGTGAACTTAGTGCCAACACACCAGAAGTAGGATGTAAACAACATTGGGTGTTCTCCACTGTTAGGCAGTAGTGACTGCGTAGTCATTACCATTGCTTTTAAGATTCAAGACTTCATCCATAGATCAACACCTCCGAAAATTTGGAAAGCAGGTATATTAGTAATCCGGAATACAGAATCCCTAACTGGGTGGTCAGTTGATATCAATGGAACTGTCGAAGAACACTTCAGAATGTGTCAGTCTTTTGTACCTTGGACTACCCTTCGAAATCTACCGCATAAACCATCTTGGATTAGTAGTGAAACAAGGTTACTAAGAAGGCTACAAAGCTTTTGAGATCAGTTTACTGTAACACGGAGAGATGAGTCTCCGATAGGCCACCGTAAAACTCGGTACCTTTGAAAGTATATCATTGATGTAAGTCGTAAAGAATATGACATACAGTTGGTTTTGGAGTGTACGTTGTGCCAAAAGACTGTCATCGTATATTAAACAAAAGGCTAAAATTAGCAGTGGCTTACCGTCATTGATAAGTAATACAGGTGAGGCGGCTGAATCAGACGAAAAGGAGGCTGAAAACCATTTGTGATATTTTTTTCCAGCTAACTGTAACATTCACGGGTTTCGCGCGATCACTGTCATTGTCCCTAAAACAACCCTAAATATGGTAGATGACACAGTGGTTCTTAAACTACTATCTAAACTTTAGCCACGTTAGTCATCAGTGCCTGATGGACCCACCCAGACTATAGGTTGCCTTAAATGATATACTTGGCACTTACGGGAATTTTTAAAATTTGATTGATAGAAGGCAAAAGGCAAGCGTTAATCATGTACTGTCTGGGTGGAAACCAGTATCAAGTGGAGCACTAGGTCCCCTTGAGCACACGTTCATTCCTTAAGCACTCTTCGTTTTCCGAAAGTATGCATTATGCAATCCATGTGTTGCAACGATTTCTAAGTTTTAATTGTGCGTATTAATCATCTTCATCAATTATCACTCCACTGACATCCTGATACTGACTAACTATTTTTTAAAAACATCGCCACTTGATTGGTAAATTTTTGTGTATTGTAATAGAAATGCTATATATATATATATATATATATATATATATTCCTATGAAAAGGTTGATGTACTGGAGTTCTCTACAATATAAATAATTTCGCCACAGATTTGACTTGCATCACTCCAGTTTAAGTATGTCCATACATACACGAATAGTTCGGTATCAGAAGAAACTTACAAACGCTAATAAACTTCAGAAAACAAAACTAAGGGTATGTCTATTTTACTGTCACCTATTTAAGCGTCGCGTCAGGACTTCAAGTTAAAATTCAGAATGGCAGGCAATATTCCCACAATCTTTAGGCAATAACGCAGCATTCGATGATACTTTTTTGGCACCGATATCACCATTTTCGACTCTATTAATTATTTCAACACAAACCCCATTAGCTCTGCCCAAACTGATTTTTTTCTTAACACGAAACATACATTCATCATTATAATATGCACTAAGCGCGCGCTGTTCAGATTTCATTTAGCAACATGGTAAACTTCAGATAATAAAGATCAAAAAGCTACGAATAGGAAGAATTATGACCTACTGTATCCCTTGAGATATAGGAATTTTTCAGGATGTCATCTACTTCTTTAGAGAGTTCACCACCGGGTCTAAAGGGGTTGATTTCCACCTCTGTAGCCATCCTCCACACTATGAAATTACAATTGAAAGCGAGCCAAATATGACCCTGAAAGCTCCCGCCAAAGGTCACTGGCAGTTCAAACAAACCATGGGAAAATGTTTGAACTCACATACTTTTGTTACCTTTGTCTCTTGTTAAAACAGGCTCAATATCTGATTCATCATTTTCAAGTGTTCCTATAAAGTTGATAAATCAGTAATCTAATCAAGACATCGCTGGAAAACAGTTCTCAGATTTAGATTTTTGACTTAAAATAGAAGAGTATGAGACGACATTTATATTTTTCAGCACGCGTCCGGACATGTGCCACTTCTGACATTCCTTCTGAATACTTGATGATTTGATGTTAAAATTAATACTCCGTGATATGCTTTGTTCTTCCCTATGTTGATCCCGCTTGGTAAACATGCATCCATAGCGCTCCAAAAACCGTGATACCGTCCTTCGTCTATTTCTTCAACATGCTCATAAAGTTGGTTTACCTCAATGTATGGCTCCTTGAAATGATCCTCAGACGCTTCAGCTGTTGTCACCTGATCTTCGCCTCAGGTATCACTTAAGCACTCAAATGGAATTGTCGGCTCTGCTCTATTTCCAACTTGGAATACAAAAACAATAAACAGTGCGCCCGCATATTCTTGTGGAAAGATGATGTTGTAAAACGTTGGCGGCCTAACTGTAAGAAGAAATCTAGTGAGATAGTGATGGGCTCTGGAGATGACGCCCTTTTCGCCTCACGAAATCCTTCACTACTGGCACCCTGTTGTCAGTGGGACTTTCCTGTGTTAAGGCTAATTGGTTTCGACAGACAAACTATGGGTCACTGGAATTGCAGGCTACTAGGCGTTGCCATAACGATGTATCATATTACAGCATTTTGGAATATAGGACATACAACAGCAAACCTCTCCAATTCCATTCCAATCCCCAATGTATGGATGTTCCATAGGAATTTATTTTCTCTATGGCCATAGATTTTACTGACAAGTCTCACGAGTGAGTAGAATTGTTATTGATGACGTCGTAAAAAGGGAGAATTCTTAACAATTCAGGAATAAAAGTGGCATTCAAACCGAAAAACTCGATAAGAAATAAGGTTTTTGCCTGTGAGGCCAATCAAAGGAAAAAATAGTTTATCTAATATCCTGCAATGATTGGCAGGTCAAACACATAGGTCAGAGTAGTAGAACGTAGCCAGTCAGCAAGACTAGTGGAGCATAATAACCTAGCAAAATCTAGATTACTTGACCCGAATAAGGTAAGAAATCTAGAGAATAGTTCAGCCATAGCACTGCATGCAGTTACACACAACCACACAATAGGATGGGATAAGGTGAAAGCTTTATAATCTAAAGTAACAGGGTGAAGGGAGAGTTGGGCAACGGAAGCTTTATTTATTGAATTAACCCGAAGCACGTGTAGTAGCGATGATTCAATACCTACCCTAGATACCTGAAAAATTCTAAACCCCTATGACAACAAATAGGGGAGAACAAAGAAAACTATAAAACTCAAATTTCGAAGTCGTGTGATTACAGTTGATATGATTATGAACAATAAATTTTGTCCGAAACGTCATCCAGTAAATAATAATGTTTTACTGTGTGATATATCTAATAAACAAACCAACTAAATCTTTGACTGAGTAAAACGCTAGTCACTATTTTTTCGACCTTTTGCCTTCAAAAAGGATGACGACGTACTCCAGTCGCAGAGTCAAGAAATCTCCACAGACTTTGGGTTACTCAACAACGCCAGCTGAACGTATGCTGACGTTCACGCATGACAATTATGGAATGTGGTGTACTTCTTTGGCGTCAGACATTTCTATCGATAACTACAATCGACTCACAGATGGCAGAAGTCACAATGGCGAGACGATACATGGTTTATTACGTCTGAGATGTTCAGAGCGAACAATGCCTAAACACAGATTTCATTACAGATTACGGCTCAGTATATACTATTCTGAAGCTCTCAACCTCATCATAATAATAACACTCATCCCCGGCATGTGGGCAGACCTGGAGCAGGGTGAAAAAGTTGTCAGAAAACCGAAGTCAATGGAGGTGCGCAGCTGAAGCCCTATGTTCCTCTAGGAACTAAAGGATACAATAATAATAATAATCCCCGGCGTTTTGTGCATTACAGACACCATTTTGCAAGCACAAACAAGATGTAGCACATAGCGACAAGGATTTAAGTACTAACACACAAATAACACAGAAAAACACATGCCACATCTTCCAAAATTATGTTCACAGTTAAGGAATCAATACTTAAATGGTTATGGAGAAAATTCTTTGCAATGATAGTCAGATTTAAAGTGCACTCAGTGTATGTAGTATTCAAAATGTCTGTTATAAGTAGAAAGGCAGCCTATAGATGAACGTAAGCCACTTAATCAACCAACGCTTAAACAGGAACCCGAAAATACCACGATTATTCGTCGTGTTGAACACTTGTTTGTTGGTATGCTCGCTAAAATTGGATAGTGCACTGATATATGCGGAAATGGCAAAAGATAGTGTGCCCTACATAGACAGGAATAAATATATTATTATCTATTATTATTATCTACTGGCGGCCTGCTTAAATCATTGGGCTACCGAAATTACTTTCCTCCAAAATGCTTAATTTCATCTGGATTTATCGTTGTTTTAATCTTGCAGTTTTATCAAATGACCTATACATAAACTTGCGCGATGATTTAACTTTCTACCAAGTAAACGCTGTACAATTCATCAAAACGAAGATATACTTCAGATTATTACTTTACATGTGAATCCTGTGTGAAGAAAAAAGTACTTTGGAACTGAATATGCTGAAAATTTTTGTACCGTATACTAGTATACTGTCTTAAATAAAGCTTTACCATTAAAAAAATTAATGTTGTTCGGTGGAAATAAATTACGTAATTTGCATAAACAGTCGCAGTATCCACCGTTTCCTCTAGAAAATTTTAAGTGACGTAAGGGCACAGTATAATGCCTTCTAATAATGGGCTTTCGCAGTTCAATGGGTTAAACATCGACGTAACGAGGCAGGTTAATACACCTTTTATAATTAATTTTGCCCCTTCAGCTGTTTTGCTGTTATCTCGAAACTCCTTTGTATGCATCTCCTTAGTGGAGATCTACAAAAACATCCAGGAATGATATAAATGTGGTATTCATTTTTTCAAGTCAATTGCCTAATGATTACGGACCGGTATAAGATGTATTTTTACTGAGTGAAAAATATTTGCTTATGTGTTTCATACAAATAATGGATTTTAAGTATTTGACATCACTTTAATTGCTTAACTTTTGTATTATTATTAGTAATCATGTCTGTATCATTTGAATCCTTTTCCTTTTCATGTAATAACTAATTCCGGTGAATTCATGGAATTCATTGCTAAAGAAAGTGATTTTCATAATGTAATTGATTTTCTACTACATGCTGAACTACTATTAAATATATCCTCGTCATTCGCACGCATGTGCTACTTGATAAGACTGAATATTAGCTTTTGTGGAAGTTCTGAGCTGTCGAGTTCATGAGATTAAGGTCATTTCTCATATTTAGTCGTACATTTAGAAGGAAGGTACTCCTCTGAATTATGATACCACTGTTGCTATTGTGAAAAAGCCATCAGCAGCAATTATTATCAATATCAACACGTCGAAAGGCAGAAGTATAAGAAATGAAACTACTGCGACAGTCGAAAAGTAAAAAGGTCCATTAGAGGGGTAGGGCAGTCGACTCAGACTACTATCTTAATGAGTAGCGCAAGGTTCTCAAGGGTGCCGTGTGATTAAACCTTCAGGATGCAGGCTTGCAGTCTTCACCAAAGCCGAAATAAAATCGAAGTGTTCTAAAAGAACTCGATTAAATCCTAAACAAAACTGAATGGCTGAGAACAGAATTATATTACCAACAGAATGTTGAAGAACTGTAAAACTGTTGTTCTATCAGGCATAGCAAGGTTATCTTCGAATTGTTAGGTAAAAGTGTATATTTGGAGGAGTTTTTTGCAAAAAATTGTGGTGTCGCCAAAGAAAGTAAATATGTCAAAATGTCATTAATGGTATCGAGAAAATTTGATGTGGGCAAAAGACGACCCTTCAGAACCCAGGATACTATTTGATGCATGCAACAACCAACTCGATTTCAACACAGTCGGTATTGAAAGACAGACAACAAGTTGAAAATTATTTGATCAACCGAAAATAAGACAATATAGTAAGTTAATTACACAACAGCGTGGCCAGGTTATTCGCAATTGCTTGCTGCCAATACACGAAAAATGTGCACAAATAACATCAGTAAAATATACATCAATACTTCTGGTTGCACTGCTACGGTCTTCTGTTGACCAGCAAACGTCCAGGCCGTGATAGGCACCGTTGATTCCAAAGTAAAGAAAAATGGTTTGGACAAACAAGTTCATTGCACATCCAATCGATGTTCATTACCACTGACACTACATCTCAGAGGAAGCACGTGCCTACAGCTCGCAGACTAAGGGCACAGTATGTCATTATACATTCAACTAATGGTACTTACGAAAGTTTGCGAGACTCCATATTATTTATCGATAGTTAAACCTTAATTTCTACCCTAGCATGCATTACAGATGTTACGGAAACATGGAAACTACAGCAGAAGAAAAACAAACTCACTAGAAAAGTGTTTATCGGACAAAGATTAGCCGCAAAGCTACTTCTGGTGAGTTAACCGTTGTTACTGTCACCACGTTCTATCTGCACACGCAGTATATATGTACTTCTCGTTAGAGTCTCAAAACGTCTGAGAAAAGCGTCACCAATGTACAGGTATGTATGATCTGAATAAATAACAAAAAAACAATTTTGAAGATGATTGCTTGATTAGCATTTACAGGCAAACATTTTGTAGACAAGATATGCAAGCAGCTTGTCAAACATGCCTCAAAAACAGTTAATGCCCAGCTCTTGCTACGCCGGGCCTCCCGCTGTCACTCGAAGCCTTCCAAA